AAGGTTTTCAGTCGCAAAGAACTTTAGATTTTCTTTTTCTATCCTCGAAATCATTTTCTGCTTTTTCATGTACATTTTATCTGATTGTTCTCTTACTAGACGATCTTAATTTTCACTCTAAGGCAAGTTCTTATCCGCCTCTTACTTCTATTTGTCTTATCACGTCAGAACCTGGGTTACCATAGGTCTTCTGTCCTTTTTAGCTCTTATTATATGTTGCATTTTCCCTATCACTCCCAACCATTTCTTTTTTTCTTTCTTTTTACAGCGGGTTTCACCATTTACAAGACCCAGGGCCACTTGTCGGAGAGCGTTACGTTTGGAGGTGCAATTGTGTGTGTAGGAGTGGAAGATAACGGTTAATAACAGGTTAAGATTGTAGTGAACTGGGAAATAACTTGTTGGGAAGTCGATCCACAGGGCAGTGGTTCATGGGAATAAGCTGTTCTAATTGGACGTCTCACCGATGGAATACCGAGGGAATGTGGGTGGTTTGCTATTATGTAAACGACATGGCGTGTTTTTGTTGTGAAGGTTTTTCCTCTTCCGAACATTTTCCGTGGAAGTAGCGGTAAAGTAGCGAGAATCTTGCCACATCCTGCCTTTGGAATAGACATTGAAGGTTGAAGAATAACTCGTAACCCACAAGGGCAGAAGACATTTTAAAACTCAAGTTTGGAGCGTGAGGTCTCTGTAGCTCTCGCTCAGATATAATAACCGTACTATATTTTTGGACTGATCTGGCTCATGTAAAGTTAGAGAATAGTAGGAAGCGTCAGTTATTACTGGAGCGCTACAAAATGCTTACCATTTAACCTGCATCTTTAGCAATGGATCGTATGTACGAGTTCCACTTCAGGTCGTGTATGAGCTTGAGGACCAACGGTCTTTCAAGTCACAGTGCTTCCCCGAGAGGACCTCCTTTCATCTTGATTGGTAATAGTTTGGGGTCTGGTAGGCGATTATAGAATATAACTAGCTTGATCTTCGAGGCATATAATGTAATCATTAGGTAGGTTAGAAGCTGTTTTTCTCTATCCCTGTTGCCTTCAATATATACTGTGAGTGATTTTTTTCTATAACCCTTTGTCATAGAAATTTCACCTGTTTCTCATTGTTAACATAAATATCGTTTTTCTTTCATTTTCTCTAAAACTTCATCATTGTTCACTCCATGTTCAAACAGTCGGTCCAATCACATCCGTTCTTGTTTATTGACGTACTCCTGAGATAATTAAAATATGTTTTCTCGTTCATTTCTCAAATAACTGAAATCGGTTTTATTTCTTGCTAAGTACATACAAGATTTGCAATTGTCTCTTAACCTTATTATTTTTTGTTGTAATATTTTTAACGGCTTTTATTAAGATTTTTGTTTATTTAGTTGAGTGTCATTTCCTCAGAACTCTCAATACCATTCCTTTTTTTTTTTTTTTTATGTGCCATGTCCTATCAGAACGTAGCCGATCATGACTCTCCACCTCCCTCTATCCATTGAAGCTCTCAACAATTACCTTCCCTCTGCTTCCTCCGCCAGACTGTGCCAGGTATGTCACGCGTTGTTTTCCCTTGTCTCTCTTTCCCTCTATTCAACCCGTGAGTATCACATTCTCTAGACCCTAATTATGTATTCCAGAAACTATTTACTTGTAGCTTAATCCTTTGAACCAGAATTTTTCTTATCCAAATTTCTCCGTTTTTCTCATGTCCAATTTAAGAATATCTTGAATATCCATTTATCGTTACTGTCTATGGATTTAAGCTTTTTAGAATGTTCCTGCCGTTGGGTCTCAAATTCCAAATAGATTTTGCTTGTCTGTGATATTTTTTATCCTATTTGGCTTAATAAAGTTATCAGTCCATTATAAATAGTATCAATGGTGTTTATATTTTATCTAAATAAGCAATACTAGCAACGCAGTCCCCACGTAGACGTTCAAGGTGGCATACAACTTTCAATCCTTTATAATTCTAAGTAATATTTGCCCCATTATAATTCCTCCCATTTACGTAGTACCATACATCTAAACAAGCCCATTATGTATTGTCACTCGCTGTTTCATTCCACTCATCATTCCTTCAATAAAGCCTGTGAGTGTCATATTTGCCAAACCGGCTTTCATCATTATGCGTCGAAGAATTTTCAACTATCAGTTTATGAGCCCAAGTAAAAGTAACCTTTGACATCTATTGTCTATCCATTAACCACACCGTGGCTCACACGTTCCGTCTATGGTATTCTCAATACATTCTTTTATACCCTTCTTGCCTTAAGTTCCCTCTTCTTCAGTGAAGACATCCCAGCTATAAAGACAGACACATATTACATAGCAGGTGAGCACTTTTATCATTTTCCCAATGAATTTTTTTTATGTTTCTTGCTAATTTGCTTAGGTTTTGGAAGGCATCTTTCATCATCTCAATGTAGCTTCGGATTTCTGTGTCACATTTTCTATAGTCCGTTTTAACACATCCAGAAATTATGTACTTGCTTACTTTTTGACGTCACCTATTTGTTTGCATCTTGGGATGTTCTTGGTAATATGTATACAGTCCACATTCTTATATTTAATGGTTAGTCTTTTCTTCTCGCTTTCCTTTTAATACACTGTGCAGGAGCTTCTGCCGTTTTCTGTCTATGTCTGCCATCAACACGCTGTCATCGTATATATTTAAGATTGTTTCTAACAATAATAAATCCATTAATGCATTATTCATATTTATTACTTTCTTAATGTGATTTAAATAAATATTAGAATTCCGTGATCATGATAGTTATTAACATTTTTTAATAGCAAACATTGTTATATGTGTTCGTCCTGATGACGTGAAAATCATTATTCCTTTCCTCCTCAGTTCAGCTTCCTGATATTATTATTTTTCGCCACTCATTGCTATTATCCTTATATAATTATTGAAATTAGTGTATTTTAAGCGAGTCCCTGAAAACTGGCGGGTTGCCGGAACTCAAAGTAATTAATATTTCGGTTTCCGCCTAGAAGAGAAGCTGATAGTAAATACATTACCTTGTAATTACCTAATTTATTTTTAATGATTATAATTCTCATTAACTGTTTAGGACATTATTTTTTGTAATAACTATTGCATTTCCCTTCATTCGCATATCTTTATTGCTTTTCGCTCTCCTATTTGCTCTTCATCTCATTATTCGAATATCATCTGCCGCCTTACTCTCCTTTTAGAGCCTGCGTTCTTCGTCTTCTTCTTCTGCATGTTTGCTTTTTTTTATATCTTTTTATTATCTATTTACTTCTCTGTTTGTTTTCTCTTCTTTTTTTTTATCTATTATAATTTCTTTCTCTTGCTTTCCTCTTTTCTCATTTTTTTTTACACTTTCTATTCAGGTTTTTTTTTAATCTTCTTTATCTCTGGTATTTTCCCGCCTTTTTTCTTTATATCTACAGCATTCACTTTTCCTTTATTTTCTCATCATTACTGTCCATCTATCTCTCTCCGCGCAGGATTTTTTACTCCAATCCTCTTCTTTCTACTCTTACCACGTCTCTGTATTTATCCTATCTAATTTTTTTTTTACATTTTTTCTTTACATTCTTTTCCCATGCTTCCATATTTACGTTTCTTTCTTCCCCAGTTCTCTATTTTTCTCCTAGATTAATTTGTTTTTTCCTTGAACTTTTTATGAATTCTAACACATGAAGAATACTGACTATCACTATAATGTACAATGCGGAATAGGATTAAAAAAAAACACAATGTTATTCATAATAACCATATTTTACTTTTATTTAGTATTCATTTTCAATCTAGCAATCCGGAATTAAAGGTAATGCGTAAATTTTGTTTTATTATTTAGTTTACATTATTAAAAGGAAAACAAAGGAAGAATGCTGGATAATTTATTTTTGAGTTCCTGTTTTCCGAATAAGAATAAATAGATGACAAATAAATTTGGATGTCTGTTCTCTTATATTGTCTAAAATGTATTAAATATTTAATTTGTTGATCTTCGACAATCTTACACAACTAGTTATATATATATATATATATATATATATATATATATATATATATATATATATATATATATATATATATATATATATATATATATATATATATATATATATATATATGTATATATATATATATATATATATATATATATATATATATATATATATATATATATATATATATATATATGAAGAGCGTTTTTATTATCAATGATATATGTATATATTACTAATAATTTTAGGTTGATTGATTGATTAGTTTTCTATGACCTATCAACTATTATGTTATTGGGTTATTTAAAGACATATCTTTTATGTAAATATAGTAACAATATTTTTTTCAGATAATAATGGTAATAATTTTTCTTACTAATTAACTCAGAACTGGGGGGTGTAGAACAGGTATATCCATATCTTTAAGAGGGTTTCAGAACTGGGGGTGTAGAACAGGTATATCCATATCTTTCAGAAGGGTTCAGAACTGGGGGGGTGTAGGACAAGTATATTCATATCTTTCAGAGGGGTTACGAACTAGGGGGTAGAATATGTATATTCATATCTTTCAGAGGGTTCAGAACTGGGCGGGTGTAGAATAGGTATATACGTATCTTTCAGAGGGGTTCAGAACTGGGCGGGTGTAGAACAGGTATATTCATGTCTTTCAAAAGGGTTCAGAACTGGGGGATGTAGAACAGTTATATTCATATCTCTCAGAGGGGTTCAGAACTGGGGGTGTATAATAGGTATATTAATATCTTTCAAAGGGGTTCAGAACTGGGGGTGTAGAACGGATATATTCATATCTTTCGGGGGTTCAGAACTGGGGGGTGTAGAACGGATATATTCATATCTTTCGGGGGGTTCAGAACTGGGGGGTAGAACAGGTATATTCATATCTTTCAGAGGTGGCATTATTGCATAAATGAATATAACGAACCCGATAGGAATTGGAACTCGGCTCTCCGATTAACAATTCCGAGCCATTATCCACTCACGGATCTAAACTTACAGTACCTGGTATTCCCAGGCGGTCACCGTATTGTTAGTGACCAGGCCCGACGTTGCTTAACTTCGGTGACCGTACGGGAACTGGTCTTTCAACATGATGAAGCGTTAAGCCTATGGCTGACTTATATTATAAATGGATATTATTATAAATTCTAATTATTCAGCACGAATGTTAAGAGTGTGAATATTTGTTCATTAATGATCCTTTGAATGATCTTTACTTTCCTGCAATGAAACTGGGAAATAAAAACTGAACATTATTAAAGATGGCAAAAATTATTCTTTACATGGCAACAAAAAACTAGTATTTATTTCTTAATAAATGCATCTGAAATTTGGATAACAAATGTTTTACCAGAACATTAAGATTGATTTTTGCGACAATTTTATTGAGCGTAATATGTGCTAAGTAATTCAAATGTCCTTCTTTTGTTTTCGAAAAGAGTCCGTTTGAAATTCCATAAAATTCCACCAACTTAAGGCTCGGATAATAAATAATAGTTTAAGTCACATTTTCCTTGAGTTGGGCTTTCTGTTCCACATGCAAAGCAGTAAGCTACTATGATACAAGAGGTTATTGGGTGTGGAAGAATTAGTAAACATACATATTAATAATTAAGAATTAGTAAACATAAATATTAATAAGAAGGGGGAATGCAAGAACAGTAATCAGGAAGACATTGCAATTAAAGTTTTGAAAATTAAAGTTGGCTGGCAAGTATGGAATCGAAAGAGAGTTCCACAATAGAGATGTGCGAGAAAAGAAACTGTTAGCGCAGAACTTAAGGTTACATCTCGCCAAATCAACTGTAAATTTATGAGAACTCGGTATTTACTTGAAACGTTTCCACAAGGCGAGATGTGGCACAAGGATATTTTTACGTAGGACGTAACGATCCCGTAGGCTCGGGCAAAAATTGCCCATAGACACCGTATACACGGGGTCGGGTAGCTGTCTACCTCCACAGACAAGACTCAGCCCTTCGGCATAGCCTCGTCTTCGTTCTTCCCGGCCTGGAGGCAGTGAGTCGTCAAGCTGAATTAACTGTAATCCTTAACTTCTTTATGAGCCATTGTCGACATTCTTGTACTGTGCTTAAATTCATAATGTCTAGTTACTATAGTGAATCGCTCACCCGGACAATTACCATTAAATTATTTATAGAAAATGCACAGTAAGGGAAAATTTACGGCTGTGGGAAATGGACGTTGAATATTTTTATGTTGTTCTAGATACTTTCAGTCAATTATATTCTGGCCTATTATTCTTTGACGTGTGCTCTATCTTATACAAGTATTGGGTCAGGCCCAAAATGGAGTATTGCTGCCATATCTGTGCTGGACTTTTCTCCAGCCTCGACAGGGTTGAAAAGCGTTGAAGCTATTTCCCTGAAAAATGTCCTGGCAAGCTTTATTCCTTAGTTTCACCAGTTCATACATTTAGAGCAAAGATCCACCATGCCTGAAGCGAACTCTCCTCAAGACTGGCATCAAAGAACCTCCATTCGGACAACCACTTCCCAATGAGGATCAGACTCTAAAATATTAATATCTTCATGTCTAGCGTTCATAAATCAAACCGCATTGAATTACCCTCTAGCTTGAGTGGCTATTAGGGCTTGTATTCAGTGAACACTAAATTAAAAAATAAACAATTAATTTGCACGAATAAACCACGGGATTTTATCTTTCAAAACAGAACCCGGATATATGACGCGTTCGGCTGTGGAGATGCGTATTCAACATTTGATAATGTTGCGGTAATACGCGTTTAAATGTTTTTCTTTTCATGATTAGCTGCAAGGAATTGTAGATATAAGAATGTTTTACACTTAAGTAGAATAATAACATTAATATCTATTAAGAATTTATTACAGGAAATATCAAATTTTTACGGAAATATTGTTGACAATTATGCATTTAGTAATATAACAAAAAAATAAAAATAATAAAAATGTTGATGCTATATGTCATTTCTTTGTTAGCTATGTTTCATTTTCTCCTTTGTTATTGGCAGCATTTAAGAATACATTGGCTGCAATACTAAGTTTCCTGAGTTGAACAAACTGGAGCTATTTCGTTTACGCTTTGTTAACTGTCTTTTCCATTGTTGTATTTAGATCGCTTTCTTCCAATCAATTTGATGGACAATAGCGAAATTCTGAAATGTAGAATGATCTTATTCCATTTAAAAAATAAAGCCTGTAAAAAAGGAATATACTAAATTAATATACGACCAAAAATAAAAGCTTTTGACATTATTATTTCACTACAATTATGTGATGCTATTCCGCAGACAAATCTACGGTTTCTTACTTCATCTCAGTTCATGGTTACGGAATATAAACCCAAACTAAGCTTGAAATATTTTGTAATCGGCTCTATTTTTTTTAAATACTTGAATATGATATAATGAATAATTTACAGTGAAAAATGCAATTTTCGATTTTTTTTTTAAAATACGCCCCACCTCCTCCGAACGCGTTATATATTCGTTCAGTTCCTCTTAGATCGTTTCGAGATTATCTTCAATTTCGACTTTTATTGAAATTACATTAATTAAATCTAGAATATTAATATGCGAATTCAACTT